CAAGTAATTCAGGAAATCGGATATCTCGATTATTTCGTTAATAATCGATACTTTGAGACACTTGAGTGCATTTAAGTGTTCGACACTGTAGTAATAATCCTGGATATTTCGGGAATTTATGAGGAGAATTTATGAAAATTTTTCTAGGTAGTAAAATTTGAACACGGTATATATTAGAATTTAATTTTCGAAATATGATATTTTTCAAAGCAAGATTTTTCAACGTGTATATACTTTGGGACAAAAAGATTGGGCACACTGTGTCGTGCAGTAGAGACAATGCGTAGATTATTACATCAGAATTCTTGGAATATTCGTGGAAAGATGTGACAGTCATTACCGAGAAGTGATTTCTCAATACTACAGAAACGAAAATATAAATATTGCGCAGCCTCGAGGCGAACAAGTTGAATATTTACGCTCGTCAGTCGTATGGAAGCTATCGAAAGCGTAACATTCGTGTGAAGTACAGTCGGTTAAGTGCGTATTAACGTAATAATAAAAATGGGTCGCGGGAAAAAGTGAAATCCAACTGAAATGCACGCGATATTGAAATTAAACGGAGAACATTATTCTGTGACAAAAAACAGCCAAAACAGTTGACAAAAGTCGTACAGTGAATGACAAATTTACTAAAAGATCCCGATAATTATGGACAAAGAAAAAGTTATAGAAAAAGTGTTTAAATACGTATCGCATCAAATTCAAGCTCGACGGTGAAACGAATTGCAGAAAAAGCTGGAGTTGGGAATGTTCAACGTCTTTTAAAGAAATTGTAAACATCTGACACGATGAAAATTGCAACAAAAACCTTGGTTGAAATAAGAGAATAAGCTGTGTTGTTTGCAACTTGCAGAGGAACATGCTTATACGAATAAAAAATGGCGAAGAGTCATATTTATCGATGAAAAGAGCTCCAATTAAGACGGATCTGATGGCCACCGGAGACGGCGATATAATGATTCATGGAGGTGTTGGTTACTAAGGTAAGATGGAAATAAAATTTATTGCAGGAAAATTAAATAGTTAATTGAAATGATTGACGGACAAATTAGTACGTATGTGACACAAATTGCCGGAAATGAAATATTTTTCAACGTGATAACGTAGTCGTACCGCGAAAGCAGTAAAATACTTTGCAAACAAAAAGATTCGTGTTTTACAAATAGAATAATTATTCAAATATCCGGATTTAAATGTTATAGAAAATTGTTGGGGAAATTTATCGAGGGCCGTATACCGAAATATTAACGAATTAAAAAAGCTTATTGTAGAGAAGGAGAAAGAACTAAGCCAAAAAATCATTAAAAACCTATGTACACTTTTGTCTCAAAAAAATGGCTTTCGTTACCCATTAAACAATTATCTCTCCATTGTTTTTCACGAAATCTGCTATCATTTTAATCCGTTAAATATTACCACATTTCTATTTTTTTTTAACAATACAGATATCGCAAAAAGTTTAATTTATTACTTATACATGTTGATAAAAGCTACTTGTTTATTTGGTCTTGAAATACAACATTCTAATGCAGCTAGAAATAAAATATCAGTGTAACATTACGATTACGATATCATTAAAAATATTTAACGTAATAAACATTAAAGAAACCATAAAATCACCGTGAGACTGCAAAAGCGTTAGCACGCGTAATAAAAGAGAAGCCACGCAGAAGACGAAAATTATGTTACCTGGCGCAGTAGAACCGAGCACGTACGAAGACCGAGGGGCACGTTCTTTCATATTTCGCGCGTCGGAACTTTACGATTCACCCTAAATCAAAATGTTACATACGTTTCGTACGTGAAACTGGAGGGAAGCACGTGGACAATATTACGCGCGAACGTTCTGCTTTCAATACGTGCGGGCATGTTCTCATAAATAGATTAATTCCACTGAATTTTTTAAAGCAGACTTCACCCGGTGAAAATGAAAAAAGTTTCCTCGTCGGCCGGTGTAATTAAAACGCCTTATACGAGGCAAGGAGACCTTACAGACAGCTTTGTTAATCGAGGTGGAGGTGCTCCCGCGTCATTCGCTCGCCTAATAAAAATTAACGGCGAGCAGGTGCAGGGCCTGTACCGAGGGGTGAGCCTCGTCTCGCTTCAAGGCGGCCAAAGGGTTGCTCCCACGACGAGAGAGGGCGGGCGCCAAGAAAAATTATAAAAATAATCTGGCCGAGGAGGGGGCAGTCAATTGGGGTGGAAAACTTGCGTAACAAGCAGTCCCGAGGAAATTGCGGGAAAAACCGTTTGCCACGAACGGATGAAAGTGGCGTAGGGCTGGCCAGTAGGGGGACGATGGGAAACCCCTTCACGGCGTTCAACGTTGAAAAGCGAAAGAAAAATAAACGAGTCCGCCACTAGCCGGACTCAATCGTTGAAATAATAACATCAACGTTTCGCGGATACGCCTGGCTAAGCAACGAGGAGGAAGTCGTTCAACGTCTTAAGATTGTATCCCTTGGTGTGTTCCTTGTTGGGAATAACAATTCTCAATAACAATAACTATTCGCAGGGATTCTTTCTACGCTCGGGTGTACGTGTAATTTGTTTTAACCTTCGGTTTCTGGGTCCGTTTGGTTCCGATCTTTGTGCTCTGTTAGGTTCTTGGAATTATTCTTTCAAATTACAGCCTGTACCTTTTTTTTTATTGATTTATTTATTTTATTTGACGTTGGAAGGTTCACAGTTTTTCGACGCTGTACGTGTATTAGTTTGAATAAGTGGTTGATCGACATAACTTTAAAACGTGAACAACCTAAAGACAAAATCAACAAGTGAATCCCAATATCGTTCAAATTCTCGCACTATTCGATGAGAAATTTTCTGTAAGTAAGTACTTCGTTTATTTCCTGTAAGAGTAGAATACGTAGAAGTCGTAGAAGACTCCCCGAGGATAATTCGTAGCCTTCGAATTATCCTCCCTATCGATTTCATCTTCAATTTTTCATCGTAACGCTACTCTGCGAGAGACTTAATTTCCGTACGGCAGTGGAGCTGCATGCAGGTTTCCAAAACGATCCGACAAGTAGCTATTTACGTGCACCATCGCGTGCTTCTCGAGAGGGTGTTGGAGAGGAAGAAGGTCGCGGAGATATTTCGGCATCCCCAATCCGTACAAGTGAGCTTAAACGGTCCTTGCTTAATACGACACAGGAGGCTAATCTTAAAAAATCCGAAGCGAGATAAGCCGTTGCCGGGGCAGGCTCACCCCCGATCTTAGAAGCAGTTACGAGCCACTGTGAACCGAGCAGATTGAGCAGCCGCTCTTCTTTTCATTAGCTGATAACTGGATTCGGGGATATGCCTGGCCTACGAACGGCAAGTTAACCTTTCGCTTAACTACCGCTGCTAGTATCACCGAAGGGCCTGCTATATATACACGTCGAATTAACATATCTTGATAAACCGCCGGGGATGCTGGTATAAATTTTTCTCCCACCTGAACACCACTAGAGGGTAGCGAACGTTATGATGGAACGTTCTTGCTAATCCACCGAAATTACGTCGCAGGAAGTTTCGTTACATCGTTATCTTTTGTATTATTCAGAGTGGTACGGTGAAATTTACATTTATTGTCTCGCAACTTATTACGACTGCTAGTAAATTTGCTCAGAAATTGATTAGGACAATTGAGTTTTGATCCGGAGGAACCGGCAAAGCTACCTTCGATACCATGCAGTCTCTTTATCTAAATCATTTTTTTTTGATTATATCTTTCGAGTGTTTCAATATTTCTAGTTAATCCAAACTGTATGTTCATTCGTCGAAACTCAAGCGTAAGTCTTTCATTTTGAATCGCTTGTAATTAATTATTTCTTATACGAAGCTTTTTAGTTACGTTCTCAGAGAATTTCATTCGCAATATTCAACGAGCACCGACTTTTCTCTTGGCTTCTTCACCTCGACATTGCATTATAACGCGAGTCTCTCGTTCGAGCGAGGTGTCGCTGGTCGAGCTGTGGCAATATCGGCCATTGTCTACCGTCATCTGCGAGATGTGCTCAAACAGATATCCGCAAAACAAGTTTCCCCGCAATTTTCCTTCCTAGTTCTTCGGGGAGGTCCTCTTCCCTCGATCGAACGAGGTCCTCTTCCTTCTCTCGTTCTCTCCGTCTGCGCTCCTCGCTCACTCGTGAGCCGAGCGAGGACACAAGGGAGAGGGGACACGGGAAATTTGGTGGAAAGAAGACAGCTCGAAGAGATGACCGTGCCAGGCCGGTGGCTATAATTTCATTAGCCGCTACGAGACAAATGAGCGAGCATTGCGAGACGCGCCGGTTGGTCGGCAGATTTGCTCCTCGCTTCTGTCTTTCCCGTTTTCGAAATAACATAACACGTCGGAACGGGATAATAACTGGCCGCCGCCGAGGGACGCTGCGCGCGTTCCGTTGAAAATTAATTTTCACGCCGGAAAAATTGCGTCAACGCATCTCCTCATTGCTTACGGACGTTTAGTTGTTGTTTTCCAGATTCGATGAGCGTTGTGTTTTGCTTCGTTCGTTTCTTTCCGAGATGAGTTTTCGGGGTAACGAGGGTAAATGGTGTGGTAAAAAATTTTTGTCACGACAGAATATACGGTTAGAGACCAGAATATATGGTCAGAAAGGGAGAGAATAGAATCTGTTAATAGGATTTATTATTCATTTCTTAATAGGGGAGATTCTAGTGTTTGCCAATAGAAAATTGTAGGAAAGTAAAATCTATTAATAAAAGTTCTATTTATTTGTTACTATATAATTACGCAAATGTATATTATATTTTTTTTGAATATTCAGAACTAGAAATTTTATGTTTTCGAAAAGAAATTTCTCTTGTATGATCTTCTACGACCAGACTATATCTTGTATGATTGTCTACAATTACATCACGAGTCATCTTTAATCACACTGCGAATATTTCCTGTAATATTTGTCATGTAAACGTCAATTCTGATACACAAAAGTTGTTCTTGTACTGGATCGAACGATGGTTATGTTATTTACACCACTTTCGTCTTCGATTATTATTCTGCTGAATTAATTCACCGTTCGTGGGAACGTTGATTCTTGGCTCGTAGCTTCGTGTCACGTTTCTTTATTGCTTCCCGTCTCTCTTTCGCGTCAGCTATTTGCTCCGGTAATTACCGGCACACGAAACACATCGCAAGAAAAACATTAATATCAAACGACGTGGCTGCCGACAGTGCAAATAGAGTACCTTAATGGCGCGCTAACTTTCAAGCGGGCTTGAGACGTGGCAGAAGGAAAATGAGGTGGTATGAGATATATCTGCCAACTTCTCGCCTTCGTTGTTTGCCTTCTCCTTGGCCTTATTTAAGCTTTCGATAATCGCTTGCGTTTCATTTTCATTTATTTTTTCTTTCTCCTAACACTACGGCGACGAATGCCGTAGCTATTGTGTGTTGTCGAATTCTAAATTAGATATATTTAATAACGTACTATTCTATACATTATTTTAATATAATCAGATAATCATTCAAACATACTACTTTCTTCGGAAGTTAAACTGATCAGCTCCATTCGTTATTAATTTTTTAATTATTTAATTACATCAGGTATATACATTTGATTTGATCATTTATTATATAAGGCGATTATAAATAATTGTAGGATAAATTTGTAATAACTTTTCTGTACTTTCTCAATTTATGAAGTTAGATCAGTATAGCTTTTGAACGTTTCAAATGGATCGTTCACGCGTCTACGTTCACAGAAATCCAACATCAATGGTCAGCATCATTCCAAAACGATCGTAAATCCCGAAACCGCGACATCGTTTTCAATCTATTCCGTGAGTCAACCAATTTCTCGCAATTAGTCGATTGGATAATTGCATTTTCAATCCTCGGGTTCCGGTAGTGTCGGTGGTGTAGAAAGAAGTCGAACGACGGCAGACGTGCTCGAACTCTAAGCTTCCACCCTCATCTAGAAATTCGCCCGCTTTGACAGGGCTGTTAATTCTTTCTCCACCCCCTCCGGACTCGCGCACTGTCATCCACTCGTACGCACCCCGGCAGTTCCTGCGAGAAGTGATTCATATTTTTTTTTCCTTTTCCCTCTCCTTTTCTTCTCTTTTTTTTTTTGGCATATTGCGTCCCGGCCCTCACCAAGTAAGGTTGGGGCTTTGTCCAATTAAGCGTCCGAGCTTTTCGACCGTCGGCGTACACGGCTTCGCATATTTCTGTCTGGAGAGGCGGACAAGCGGGAGAGGGTCTCGCCACGTCGCGGGAAAGAGGAAAAACTCTCTTTCTGACCGATTGTTGCGGCGCACCGGTCCCCTTCTCCTTCTTTTTTTTTTTTTTTCGTCTTTCCTCCTCGGCTGCCGCCGTCACCTTCGATTCGAGTGTTTCGCTTGGCAACTTATCAGCAATTAGCTCAATAATTTCCTTCCGTTTCACGGTCTCGTCGAGCTCTCGTCGGCCCTCTCGCCGGTCCTTAAAAATCCTCTTGTCCGTCGCGACCAAGGAACGCGTCCCTCCGCGATGAAAACTCGTTTCGGAGACCGTGTCGTTTGTTTCGTTGTTCACGTTGAATGAAAAACGCTCGAACTTTATGCAACGGAGTGGTTTTCCAGCAGATATTTCGCAGATCGTTTATAATGTTGCACTTAACGGAGAGAAGTTTGTTGGGTAATCTGTCAAGCATGTTAGCAAAGATGGAGGAGTGTTGTTGAAATTTTTAGGATGATGCTTAGGTGATACAGGCTAGCTCGGATAATTTTAAAAATGGTGCTACATGATGACGGTGGACTACTTTTTATCGAAGTCGAGAGAAATTATTGTCAAATTTTGCAATTAATGCTCTTTTATCACTTGTTGGGCACTATATATGAATACTGTTTGCCAGATCGCTGCCATTCTTCATTCATTTCTGTTTCTCGCCCTTACGTTATTTTTCAGTACATTCATTACTGTTCAATGGTTTTGAAATCTTTATTTAGCAAGAAATTTTGTATATATAGTAAGCTGAAGCGAAAGGAATATTTCTTGTCTCTACGTCATCTGCTTACAATTTTCGACAGTAAATGCTTAAATTTTGTTTAAAATAGAACTAATCAGATCTTTTTTGTCTCTTAACAGTAATATTTTAACAGTAATATCACCTCCATGTTCCAATGCCCATACTACTTAAGGGTTAAATCCACAGTCGGATTATTTCAACTAAACAAGAATCTCGCTACCACGATTTTTCTTTCTGTTCGACAATACACTTATTGCCCCCTTGTCACGAGCTCTGGAAATCCAGATTCTCTCCCTCTCGATCGATGAGCCTCCGATATGACGGACGTTCTTTTAACGATCGACTTTTAATCCTCTTCGGCGCGAACGCTGTCGAAAGAGAGGACAAAGAGAATCGGTCGTTGGAATAAACGAGCCGGGCCTTTATTTCATCCAAGGAAGGCTCGTCGCGACCTCGTCGAAGCTGGTGTATTAAAACTCTTGGAAAGTTTCGCGACACGGGCCAGATGGCGTCATTATCGGCTTCTTTGTCCCGCTTCCGTCCACCGTCCGTGTCTGCTCATTCCTTAACCTAAGTTCTTGCACGCTCGGCTCCTTGTCTCGTTTCGTTATCTGGCCAGCAAGTCGTGCGACTGTCTGTAGCTAGCGTTAGCGCTTGGATAGGTAATGTGACGCGTGTCTTCCTGGCACTCGAGAGCTAGACTCACCTCGTGCAAGCGGAGGTCTGAACTTGGCTTGAGTGCCAAGTTCGCCTCGGGTATTAAGCGTATTAGGCACAAGTGGTTCCTGACTGGAGAGGGCATCGGTCATTAGCATGGATAGATTCGAAGGTTATTAACCATTACTGCCATTAGACGGCCCTTGTCTTCCCGAACGTCCTCCTTGTTGTTGGTTCCTCGTATTTCGCCGCCCTTGTTCCACACCATTGTTATCGCTTCTGACGGTGAAAATTTTTCGTGTCACATCGGTCGTCGAAGAATATCATGGAATCTCAGAACAGTTTCATGTAGAAAAGTTGGTCGTTGAAATTGAAATATGAAGTGGTTGAACGTCTAATATACAGATGATGATTATATACAATATATGTGAGCCTAACGTAGCAATATTGTAAAACGTGTACAATAATAAATAAATATAGAAACAGAGATAGAACAGCGATATACGTAATTTTCATTTATTGGAAAGATCTGTTCATTCCTCAAGAGAAATTTCCAAAATTGAAAATAGAGGAAGAAATTGATCGCTAGACTCATTTTATACTCTGGCGCGAGTATCGTGGGAACGTGCGAATTTACGAATTCTTGAGTATTAATTACTCAGGAGATAAAGGGGCCAATCAAGCCAAGCCATTCCATTAAATCCACGTTCGTGGGAAAAGGGAGCAAAATCCTCTGTTTCAGTAGCGGGCAATAACAGGACGGAAGTTCCTTCCTCTCCTTTCCTTTTCGAATCACTGCGGCGAGCATTCCAGTTAAACGAGAACTCGATCCGTCTTACATTGTCAAAAACTACCCTTTCGATCCGGACGTCCCTCCCATTTCCTTTTTCCTCGATTAAAGTCAGCTTCCTGGCATGTTTGGTTCTTCGCGGTGCGAGAAGCTCGATCCATTTCCGCGGACTGATGTTTGCCGGATGGAAAACTTTGCCATCAAAGAGCCACCGGAGCCGTCTCGCAGCTCGCCGGCGAGTGTGTGCAGCTGCGGATGTCTCCTATATGAGCGTATCTTGACGATCTCTTCGGTATAAGAGACGAGGAAGACGAGGACTGACGGATGTTTGATACGTTGCGGTGTTGCCTCATATTGAATTCTCCTCTCTTCCCTCTGTTCCACTCTCTCGCTTACCCTCTCTCTCCCTCTCTCTTTCTGTCTCTGTCGATCTTTCTCCTCTTGCTTCTACCTTCTCTGTTTCTTCCGTAGCCGGGGAACACAGCAAGGTGAGGTATCGGCATTCGTACTAGCAAACCCTGAATCAACCGCAACAGCGATATTCCTCCGGGACTAATCACGCACAACTTCTCCCTTGTCATCCGGTAAAATTGATTTGGGTACTTTAAACCACCGCAGAGAGTTGTATCGATGCTGCTGCTTCTTTCGTCGCCGCCGTGTACGGTGGTGTAAAACGGTTGAATTGAAACTTAGATCATTAGAAATTGAGCAGCAGTTTGTTGCAATGAAACAAATGTTTAAATTCCGTGAAATTCTGGATTTTATGTAGAAGAACTTTCTGATTAGATCTAATTTCTTTGATCGTTGCCAAAAAAAAAAAAAATTTCAATGTCTCTGTTCAATATCGAAAAAGTAGAAAAAAAATTTGATTCACGCTTTTGATCATTGTTGGTGTCACTTGGGAATTGAAAATTTCCGTCAACGTATCTGCAAAGTGTCGCGCGTACAAAGTTCTACATCGCGAGTAATCCGCATCAACCTGCTCATAATTTATTCATCCTTAACTTCTGCCGAAACAAATGTAACCCATCTCGAAACGTCCGAGCGGCGGCGCCCAATTTCTCCAAAAACTTGGCCGACCGTGGCGAGTGAGGCTGCCGAGTTCTTCTCGCCCGTGTTACATCTCGCGCTCTGGCCAGACGAGCTGGAATTCCCGGTGAAATAGCGAGACGCCAGCAAGGTTGCCGGAGGATCCCATAGGAATTCGTCATCCTTCGCGGAGTTTGTCCATCGAGCGTAGACCCGTAGCTACATTCCCGCCAAATGCTCGGTTATTTGTGTGACAAACGAGAGATGTCAGGGTTACGCCAACCTCCCCCTTACCCCGTCGAAACGTTCACGTCCACCCCTTCTCCTGCAGCGAGGTCCTCTCCAGCTCTCCCCACGTGTTCCACGTAGCTCGCGTTTAATCCATTGATTAATTCACTTGGTTCCCGCGTCCTTTATGATTAGTCGGCCCTTTACTGCCACTTTCTCTCCTGTACACACGAGCCGGGACTAATGCGGTCAGTCTCTCCCGCCCTCTTCTTAATACGTCGCTGCTGGCGGCTGGCAATTTTTCTGATGCCCATGCTACATAAAACGGAGTACCTTAGACCAGTGGATGTCGGAGAGACGAAAAGAGATTGACGGGATAATATTTTCTCGCGTTACTTCGCTACCAGAGGTTTCTTGTAATGGACCGCGCGATAATGATTTGGAAAGGTTGAACGAACAGTGGTTAGAGAGTCTCGTTTAATAAACGACAGATCTTCATGCACTTGTGAGAAATTTTAAAATTCAAAATTTCAGAGAAAAAAAAGTAGGAAACTTTAGTTTCTTACGGGTATATAAGCGTAAATAGTCTGATAAGAGTATCAGTCTAGTATCGAATAAGTGTGTTAGTCTTGTAGAAGTTCTGCTCTGGAAAAACGTAGAAAATGTTTGCAGAATATCTTCATCTCTTTGTTCCAAACTTTCAGCGTTTGATCTTTTCATTATGAACGTTGTGAACATCTACAACTTTTTTTTTTTTTAGCGACGTTGTTGAACGTTGAAATCAGAATCAAAGGGGATAGAGATTTCACAGAGTCTGTAGGAAAGTTTCGAGGAATTAAGCGTTTACGATCTGCGACTCGATTGGCTTTCATCAACGATCCTGCTGAAACTCGTACTGAATTCGTACTAATTTTAACTTGACAAGCATGGTAATACGACAAGCCACGTTTGAAAAAGTAGCTATAAATGTCATTATCTCGTCTCGTTTACGCGAAATGTCTCGACTTTTTCACTTTTTGTCTACCTTTTTACCGATGAATTTATGGCAGATTAATATTTTATATTAATATTCTGGCGTTGTAACTGGCCAGTGAATTACCAGATCTCTATTAAATCGACCCGATTATCCAATTGGAATGCCTTCTAAAGCCTAACAAATTTATTTCCTCAAGTACTTTAATGTCAAGGAGAAAATATATAAGAGAGAAAATATAAAAGAGAGAAAAATATAAAGGAGGACGGAATAACGGAGTTGATGGTCATTAAATTCGCGATTCGTCGTATTCAAATGGCTCGTAAAATCCTCACACGCAGTTCCGATCAATTCGCTAACAATTTTCCTAAAGGAAGATTTTCCGCCATTACAAACGCATTTCCACCCTGTTTACGAGCAGTTTGTTCGTAACACGAAAAGGATACTCGATTTATCGCTATTCAAAGTGTTCTCTGCTTTTGCATAATATATTCTCGGAATAAGTCCTTTTCAATATCTATTTACGTTAAACTTTATTAATATAATTGGTTCTTTGGTACAAGTTCTGCAATACTTACATCGAATAAAACGATGAACTGGATTGTGGAAGCTTTACTTGCTTTACTATCAACTTTATTTACTAGAAATTCAATATTGACATTGTACAATTTCATTAACATTAATAATCCTTAGCGTACTAAGGTCACTCAGAGTTACCCAGAGACTTCAATACATATATTTTTATACAATTCAATTAAAAACCTTTACGTGCTTCTTACATGCCATCCTTTTCATCCTGCACCAAATCCACCACACATTTACACGTAAAAAAAAAGTAATCTCTTTCTTACAGTTCTTACAATTTCAAGTGAATTCGCTTGTAAAAAAAAAACTTGTTATACTGAAAATTTATATTCGACGTCACAACATAGAGAAGTCTTCTTTTCATTTCGTGACGTGTACACGTTTGAAACCAATTTATTTCTTATCGAGCAGATTTGTATATTAATTCTGACAAAGTTCTTCACTTTCTGTTTCGACGCCGTCTGTTAGTTCGCCGTCTCATTAAACTACGAGGCTTAGGAAATTTATTCCGCTGACATTGAATCTGCGTGATAGTTCGGAGACTTACCGGTGACCTGGTAGTAGTTTACTTTGAGTACATTCAGCGGAACACTGTACTATGAGTTTCAATGCAAGTGCACGATGGAGAGGGACGATGGGAGAGGGGACGGGGTGCAGAAGTTTCGAAGGCACATTTTCCCTAACTCGAATATTTTGCGTGCATAGTTGCGGGCGGCGTCGACTCGCGATTAAACGCTCCGCCATGTGACCTTAAACGAAACTTTCTTCCTTTCGTTTCTACTTCTTCTTCTTCTTCTTCTTCTTCTTCTTCTTCTTCTTCTTCTTC